AGTCCTTTGGAGGGAGTTGTTGCCCAGCGACAGCCCCAAAACATCACTGCTCTAGAGGAGATCTGCATGGAGGAATGGGCCAAAATACCAGCAACAGTGTGTGAAAACCTTGTGAAGACTTACAGAAAACGTTTGACCTGTGTCATTGCCAACAAAGGGTATATAACAAAGTATTGAGAAACTTTTGTTATTGACCAAATACTTATTTTCCTACCATAATTTGCAAAAAAAATAATTAAAAATCCTACAATGTGATTTTCTGGATTTTTTTTTCTTCATTTTGTCTGTCATAGTTGACGTGTACCTATGATGAAAATTACAGGCCTCTCTCATCTTTTTAAGTGGGAGAACTTGCACAATTGGTGGCTGACTAAATACTTTTTTCCCCCACTGTACATGGCCAATATACCACGGCTAACGGCTGTTCTTATGCACAACACAACACAGAGTGCCTGGATAGGACCCTTAGCTGTGGTATATTGACCATATACCACAAACCCCCGAGGTGCATTATTACTATTATAAACTGGTTACCAACGCAATTAGAGCAGTAAAAATAAATGTTTTGTCATACCTGTGGTATACCATGGCTGTCAGACAATCAGCATTCAGGGCTTGAACCACCCAGTTTATAATAGCTAATAAATTGTTAGAAAGGTGGTTTTAGTAAGTCTGATAATTTTTGCAAACCAAGGTAACATACATAATGGTATCCCAATACTTGGATTGGAGAAAATATCAACAGAAATACACTAAAGAGTGTTGTGGTAAACCACTGTTAATCCAACATGTTTACAACATGTTTACAGAAGTTGTTTACAGAGCAAGATTACTGTAGGTTTCAAAATACACATGACATTCTAAACTCTCATTAAAGTGCTGCCTGCATACGGCCCCTACAGCCCAACCTTTCCCCTACATGAAGGCAATTGTTATTGTAATCTTGCGAGAATATTGTATTACTTTAATAATTATTTTACTTAAGATAAGTCCAAACATTTAGTACCCTTTACATATGTTCCTGTAAGAGTATCTACTTGATCACAGGATAAAACATACAATCGTTGTTTAATACGCATTACCAAAATATTTTATGAATATTAGAATATAATATTTTTTCCCCATTGCTTATGGGGGCTTAAGGAGACACATCATACATTTTGTAGACATCTGGATTAAGGTGTTGTGGTTCAATGAAAAGGGGGACATGACAAAGCAATGCATCTTATCAGACTTGAGACAGGGTAAAGACATGACCTTAAACATAAACATCTGCTACATACCAACATCAGCCCTCATTTATCAACCTAATTATGCAATTCTCTAACACAGTCTGTATACATGTAGCCAGCTAGCATTTTGCAAATATAATTAACTAATGGTAAGACATTAAACGTATTGTATAATACAACAAAGATCTTGCTGTCTTTGCTCCCTTGGGAAAATTGGATGGTTAGCGTTTATTCTACAGTCTGCTACTTACAAGGTTTTTAATTTTCTTTGAAAGACGTCACGTAACACATCTCTTTGAAATAAGTAGCAATGCAAGCTACAAGGTCCTTGTTACTTCATAAAATACCAGGTAAAAATCAGCTGAAACAAGTCTGTAAAAAAAGTATGATTATTTTTCTTATAATTAGGCTGAATCAGCTCTACAGCATTGGAGTGACAATAGAGGCAGGGGAGAAAAAAATAACTTAATAGTGATGACTCAATATTTGACCATCATTGCCTTGTTGACTTAACCAGTTGTATGATGTCACTTACTAACTGTGTTCCACACCACTTATGAGAGTGCTATCCGCTTTTTCCAGGAGTAATCACGTGAACTATGCCACTGTGTTTTGACACTCACGCAAGCAAGTATCCTGGGCTTATGACAGTACATTTGTTTTAAATGCACAAAATTATCTTAATACTGAGTCATGTTTTGGCATATTAGTATAACTAAGTAAAGGTTGAGGAAAATATTATTTTCAAAAAGCCATTAGATACCAACAAATCTAAATTAGACAGGTTCTGTATTATCATAAGACATATAACATTGCAGTGAGGCGGGTTGCAGGAAAGTATATTTAGTTAACGGATGGAAAGTGAGATTGAGAAATATATACGAAAATATATAGGAAAAAGACAAACAAAAAAAAGGCTATTTACATGAGGACACTATAGAAAACACGAACGCACTGCTACGCCATCTTGGAATTTTTGGTAGCAGTCAAGGCCATTCTGCACTCTGCATCGCGTCCAAGAATAAGAGCAGAATCCAGGAGACTAGTACATTCATCCATAGCACAGTCAATGCATGGTGTCTTCAGTATACCAGCATTTTGACAGGAGAGCTTCTAAATGCTGTCTGTGAATAAAAAAAGTAAATAGACATAATAAGCCACACACAAAAAAACTGCCAAAGGAGTATTACATTTACCGTACTAACTTTACTTCATTTTGTACTTCATTGATTCCTTTTAAGTGTTGCCTATCTTGATGGTACAACTAAAAACGACATGTACTGTGTATGAGAGAAGGAGTGCACCTGTCTCAGGGAGGCATTGTGAAGTGAGTAGTTCAAGAGAGGTAACTGCCATGCACACAGACACCCTCTCATGGTAGGATATTGGTCAAGAATAGCGTGGATGGTCATGTTACAGACCTTTGAGCCTTTTATTTGGCAGCGTTCATCTAGGTATCAAGCACAAACGAGAAGAGATAGGAAAGCAGGATTTTAAAAGGCTTTTAAATAGATGCACATTTGCACTGATATGTATTCTGTGCAACAAGTGTTTTTTTTTTCAGGCTGGGCTACCACCCACCATGTAATTGGCAAAAAAGGAATTGTTTGATTTTCTCAGAATAAACACAAATCATTTCTGGGGAGGTTTGACTTAGCTTTGTGGGAGTCCAAAGAAAGACAAACATGTAAATGTCAAATCCATTTCCCACAACAATGTAGTGTATTTCAGCTCCCAGAATTACAGTCATTGAGGATCTATTTACCCCTCCCTTGAGAGAACAATTTCATCTGCTCTAGGAAATAGCAGGTGGGAAATACATTTTTCACCTAAGACTATAGGCTTGAGGCTATTGCTTCAGTATTATTATGTTTCCTCAATATCGCACAGAGGTGGAATTGAACATTGTCTACTGTAATTTAATTTATGTTGCATGGCTTTTGATTTTATTCACTCAAATAATGGCAATATGGATAAGTCCCAGTAATCACAAAAAACAGATTAATTCCCCTACAGTAAACAATTACCTTTAGGATCACAGATATTACTGAGGGGTGTCTTCTCACAGAAATCTGACTCTGACATGCAGGTGTCCATAAAAGTCAAACTGCCTGTGGATCTGGATTAAATCTAGATGCTGGTTATCTGGTAAACAATAACAAATGGAAGATATTTACAAAAACATTTTAAGGTCAACCATTATAAAGTTATCTGCTTTGGATTTAACTCTTCTCCAACGTGGTAAGTCGCTCTGGATAAGAGCGTCTGCTAAAGGACTTAAATGTAAATGTAAATGTTTTGGTCAATAGAACACCTTCCCCATCCTTCTCTTATTAGTGAATTTCACACAGAGTAAGTTGCAAAGTAGGCTACTGATGGACTTTGAATACAAAACTTTATTGCTTATGTTCCTCTTTAAAACTAGATCCTGTAGCATTATTTCAACAAAGTTCAATGTAGGCTGCCTACTCACTCATTTGTTTGGAAAATGCAAATACTAAACATATGGATATAATCATACCTCTATTTAACTTCACCACTTGTGCTACTCTTCAGTAGGAAGCTTCAGACTGTCTAAATAGGTCAGTTATCACAGAAGTAGTCGTTTCTGCTATAAAGGGAAGTTTGTCCCTTACTTACCCATTTGAGGCACAGTGAAAAGAAGCAAAAAATATCTCACATCACCGGCAGACTTTAAATGCTCACCAATTACAACCACAGTTTTCACACCTGTCGTTCGCTGCATGGTAACACTATCCCTTCCCTTTCGGTTAGCTCCTCTAAATGGACAGCTCCGATCTTTGCAGCAGCGATTACCCCTGTTGCATACCAATCGCTATGACGTCTTTTATTTAGAATACTCAGAGACAAATGTAAGTTCATTGTAATGTAAGATGTTAAAAGTCAAACTCATGGTTACTGACATGACAAAATATGTTTAGGACAGGGTGAAATATATACATCACTAATAAATGAGTGGTGTAAGAAAACACAGCATTGTCTCCAGGTTTATTTTATCAACGTTATGATTAGGGGATAAGGACAGTGATGTAAGAGGTGGGTATATTCAGTCATTGAAAAAATAGCCATTGCAACCTGGTTAGTCAATTATGGAAAAGTTAATGCTTCCCAAATGTATTTCTCCTTTTTAGGTTTATACAATTTTATGTTTATTTCCTGGCACATGTACAAATGAGGTATATTATGAGGTAAAAGCACAATACAATACAATTAACACAAAGTGTACGACAACATGGGGTGCTCCTTCTTTCATCTGGTCTAGGTCCCTTCCAGTCAGGCTACATTCACTCGCTAATCCTGTAGAATCAGCAACGGCGCCGGTTCAATTAATTTCTTTATTTCTTAACGCTTCCGCATGGAATTATTACATTGTCTTAAAACCTTTGTTATCTTCAACCTCTGGTGGGAAGATAATCAAAGACTGGAGCCGATATAAGAGTTATCCATCTGTAACAGATAATGACTCATTACAATGAGATATTTTTTCCTTATCCCTGGGTAGAAGTCCTAGCAGGTGAGGGATTTGCTTTCACACAGGGTGGTGGATATTGATTGCTTCCAGGCCATTCAGAGTATGTGGTCTCATTCAATATGTCTGTTATGAAAAGCTTGAGGTTACAATGTGTATGAATTGTAATTGTGACCTTTGTACTTATAATGGTGACAGTGAATGCCAGTGTGTCCTGGGTGGCATGGTGCAATAATGCAAATGCCCAGCATGCCACAGGATAGGATTAAACCACATGGTCAGATATCCATGAGACATTGTCCATGTTTTGACTTGAGTGGACAAGGATTTACAGCTGTCAGTGTTTGTTCTTGTCCGTATTCCCTCTGTTTGGTTGTGACATCGGCCAAAACAGCAACAGGAAAATGCTGCCTTGAATTCCACTCGAAATTTCCCTGTGGAAAAAAGCACAACTTTGAGTCTTCCATTCCAGCCATTACAATGAGCTTTTCCCCCTACAGCTCCTCCCACCAGCCTCCACTGGTTTTAAGATGGTCATACCAAGGATCATTTAGCTATTTGATTTAGAATTTTAGGACCCCTGTAGGTATAAAAAAAGATGTACAAATTATTTGTTGAAACATTGAATTTGGCCTTACTGCTATTAGCCCATAGACACACATTAAATAACATTTTTTTTTTTTTTTTTTTTTTTTTAAATAACACATTCATACATGGAAAAACAGAAAGTAAAAAAATTAAGTATGTTTTGAAGTGTTTGTCCTATATCTGAGATATAAGAAAGCTCAGGATTTTATATTTTTATTGTGGAATGACCCGTATACCTTTGATGTGGAAATGCCCTATTCACTTCTATACATTTTTACCTTCAGATGAGTCTTGTGAGGCTTGTGGGCGTCGTAGAGCACAACAATTGTGTTCGTGAACGTGAGAGTCTCAGCTTTCGATTTGGTTTTATAGGTCAAACCGTTTGGACGCTACAGACAGAAGTTGGCACATCTGCAGTACCAACTTCAGACGAGTCCCGTGAAGCTTGTGGGGGTCGTGGAGCTAAACCATTGTGCTCGTGAGAGTCTCAGCTTTACATAGTGGGGTCATATTAGTGGTGTCATATTAGTTTCTAGCCTGTTACAGGATTTGTTTTTTCTCTCGATTTCATTTTCAATTTTGTGGTTGGTTCTCTTTGGGTGTGGTGTACTGATTAGAATCATCTTCGTTGGTCAGGATGTGTTGCACCTGTTGTCTTCGTTACATGCTGACCAGACCGCTCGGGCGCATGTTGATTTTGTCCACCCACACCAGACACGATCAGGACACGCTGGTTGAAATATCAAAACGAACTCTGAACCAACTACATTCATTTGGGGACAGGTCGAAAAGCATTAAACATTTATGTCAATTTAGCTAGCTAGCTTGCTGTTGCTAGCTAATTTGTCCTGTGATATAAACATTGGGTTGTTATTTTACCTGAAATGCACAAGGTCCTCTACTCTGACAATTAATCCACATATAAAAGGGTAAACCGAGTTCGTTTCTAGTAATCACTCCTCCTTCAGGCTTCTTCCTCTTCTTCTTTGGACATTATGTGGCGGTTGGCAACCAACTTTAAGGTGCATTACCACCACCAACTGGACTGGAGTGTGAACCTCAGTTCATCTTTCAATCACCCAAGTGGGTATATGCTCCTAAAAACCAATGATGAAATGGGAGTTGAGGGACTTGCAGCGCATCAAGTGTCACAAATAGAACCAAGTTCTATTTTAGCGCCTGGCTAGGCAGACGCTCATTGATGTGCGCGAGCAGTGTGGGTGCAATGATTGAAAAACATGTATATGTACATGTATTTTGCAACACCCTCACGCGACACGAGCGGTGTGGTCAGCATGTTAGTCAGAAGGTTTTTCACATGTGCTGGCACAGCTGATATTTAAGAGCTGTGGCCCAGTGCTTCAGGTGGAAAAAGAGATGTTGGAAGAGTTACACCTCTGTTTAGCTCTTCCGCTTTAGGTTGTGGAACAGAGCCTTTACCTTTGCTTTCCCGTGTTTGGGTTTGCACCACTTTTGTTCTCACTCCCTGTGTTTTTTCTTTTAGTTTGACTGATATCAGGCAAATCCAGAGGGTGTCCATGGTGGGGATCTTTTAAGAACCAACTGGAGTTGCTTGGCCAGCATTCAGTAGGCCCCCCATAGATGCCTTTCAGAACCCATGTTAAAACCCTGTCTGTTTCATTTTGGTTGTCAGTGGCTCATTTGTTAGTTCTCTTTTTCTGTTGAGCAACGATTTTTGGTTTCTTATTGGGGAACATAAAAAGCCCAAACTGTTAGGACTGCAGATGTTTTCATGATAAGACCAATTTTCGGGATGTCTCCGGGTCTGACAAACACCACTGTAGCTCTGCCACCTTCCACTGCAGATGCAGAAGGCCAATATCGGCGGATGCGGAGGATTGAGACGCAGCCCATGCAAAAAACACATCTCAAGCTTAAACAGAGATTCTGATGGGGATTTAGTTGATGATGCTAATTAGATTTCCACGTGGGTGCGTACATAGACTCTAGGGGTTTCTAAAGTACAGTTGACAGTACGTACAGTTTTATTTTATCTGCAATTATTACATTGAGGCCTAAGGGTATTTGTCATTCACATTTTAATTTAAATAATGGATTTTGAATGATTTCATTAAAATATATAGTATGTGAAGAGCAATAAAAATGTTAGTCCATAATGACACATCGTTAATTAATTCAATCAGCCAATTCTGTTAATTCTACCACTACAGTATTCTGTTTAACCATTACAATAGACTGATTGACTAAGTTTGTGATATGCTGTACTGTCCAGCAGATGGGGCAATAAAATCATGAAGTACACTGTGTACAAAACATTAGGAACACCTTCCTAATATTGAGTTGCACCACCTTTTGCCCTCAGAACAGCCTTAGTTCGTCGGGGCATGGACTCTACAAGGTGTCGAAAGCGTTCCACAGGGATGCTGGCCCACGTTGACTCCAATGCTTCCCACAGTTGTGTCAAGTTGGCTGGGTGTCCTTCGGTGGTGGACTATTCTTGATACTGATGAGCATGAAAAACCCAGCAGCGTTGCAGTAGGTGTGCCTGGCACCTACAAACCATACCCCGTTTAAAGGCACAAATCTTTTGTCTTACCTATTCTCCCTTTGAATGGCACACGTACACAATCCATGTCTCAAGGCTTAAAAATCCTATTTTAACCTCTCTCCTCCCCTTCATCTACAGTGCATTAGGAAAGTATTGAGACCCCTTGACTTTTTCCACATTTTGTTACGTTACAGCGTTATTCTAAAATGGATTAAATTGTTGTTTTTTCTCTCATCAATCTACAAACAATACCCCATAATGACAAAGCAATGTTTTTTTGCAAATGTATTAAAAATTAAAACTGAAAAATCACATTTACATAAGTATTCAGACACTTTACTCAGTACTTTGTTGAAGCACCATTGGCTGCGATTACAGCCTCAAGTCTTCTTGGGTATGACACTACAAGCTTGGCACACCTGTATTTGTGGAGTTCCTACCATTCTTCTCCGCAGATCCTCTCAAGCTCTGTCAGGTTGTTTGCGGAGCGTCGCTGCACAGCTATTTTCAGGTCTCACCAGAGATGTTCGACCGGGTTCAAGTCCGGGCTCTGGCTGGGCCACTCAAGGACATTCAGAGACTTGTCCCGAAGCCACTCCTGCGTTGTCTTGGCTGTGTGCTTAGGGTCCTTAGGTTATCACCAAGGATCTCTCTGTACTTTGCTCCGTTCATCTTTCCCTCGATCCTGATTAGTCTCCCAGTCCCTGCCGCTGAAAAACATCACCACAGCAGGATGCAGCCACCGCCATGCTTCACCGTAGGGATGGTGCCAGGTTTCCTCAGGACGTGACACTTAGCATTCAGGCCAAAGAGTTCAATGTTGGTTTCATCAGACCAGAGAATGTTGTTTCTCATGGTCAGAGTCCTTTAGGTGCCTTTTGGCAAACTCCAAGCAGGCTGTCATGTGCCTTTTACTGAGGAGTGGCTTCCATCTGGACACTTTACCATAAAGGCCTGATTGGTGGAGTGCTGCAGAGATGGTTGTCCTTCTGGAAGGTTCTCCCATCTTCACAGAGGAACTCTGGAGCTCTGTCTGAGTGACCATCGGGTTCTTGGTCACCTCCCTGACGAAGGCCCTTCTCCCCCGATTGCTCAGTTTTGCCGGGCGGGTCTTGTTGGTTCCAAACTTCTTTCATTTAAGAATGATGGAGGCCACTGTGTTCTTGGGGACCTTCAATGCTGCATAAATGTTTTGGTACCCTTCCCCAGATCTGTGCCTCGACACACTTACATTTACATTTACGTAATTTAGCAGACGCTCTTATCCAGAGCGACTTACAAATAGGTGCATTCACCTTATAGCCAGTGGGATAACCACTTTACAATGTAATTATTATTTTTTTTTTGGGGGGGGGGGGGGGGTAAGGGGGGGTAGAAGGATTACTTTATCCTATCCCAGGTATTCCTTAAAGAGGTGGGGTTTCAAATGTCTCCGGAAGGTGGTGAGTGACTCCGCTGTCCTGGCGTCGTGAGGGAGCTTGTTCCACCATTGGGGTGCCAGAGCAGCGAACAGTTTTGACTGGGCTGAGCGGGAACTATGCTTCCGCAGAGGTAGGGGAGCCAGCAGGCCAGAGGTGGATGAACGCAATGCCCTCGTTTGGGTGTAGGGACTGATCAGAGCCTGAAGGTACGGAGGTGCCGTTCCCCTCACAGCTCCGTAGGCAAGCACCATGGTCTTGTAGCAGATGCGAGCTTCAACTGGAAGCCAGTGGAGTGTGCGGAGGAGCGGGGTGACGTGAGAGAACTTGGGAAGGTTGAACACCAGACGGGCTGCGGCATTCTGGATGAGTTGTAGGGGTTTAATGGCACAGGCAGGGAGCCCAGCCAACAGCGAGTTGCAGTAATCCAGACGGGAGATGACAAGTGCCTGGATTAGGACCTGTGCCGCTTCCTGTGTAAGGCAGGGTCGTACTCTCCGAATGTTGTAGAGCATGAACCTACAGGATCGGGTCACCGCCTTGATGTTAGCGGAGAACGACAGGGTGTTGTCCAGGGTCACGCCAAGGCTCTTCGCACACAATCCTGCCTCGGAGTACTACGGACAATTACTTCGACCTCATGGCTTGGTTTTTGCTCCGACATGCACTGTCAACTGTGGGACCTTATATAGACACGTGTGTGCCTTTCCAAATCATGTCCAATCAATTGAATGTACCACAGGTGGACTCCAATCAAGTTGTAGAAACGGCTCAAGGTTGATCAATGGAAACAGGATGCACCTGAGCTCAATTTCGAGTCTCATAGCAAAGGGTCTGAATACTTATGTAAATAAGGTATTTCTTATTTGTATTTTTATTAAACTTGCAAACATTTCTAAAATCCTGTTTTCGCTTTGTCATTATGGGGTATTGTGTGTAGAAAAATGTGGAAAATGTCAAGGGGTCTGAATACTCCCCGAATGCACTTTACACTTATTGAAGTGGAATTAACAGGTGGTATCAATAAGGGATCATAGACTGACCAGGTGAAAGCTATGTCATTGAAAGAGCAAGTGTTCCTAATGTTTTGTACATTCAGTGTATATTGAGACTGCCACAAACTCACCACTTAAAAAGTTATAGATGATTGGATTTGCAGCACTGTTGGCATATATCAGCCAATTTGAGAATGTGAACCAGGCGTACACAGTCTCTCTGCTGTTTGTGTTCTTAATCGTTTCAAGCGCTCTGCAATGACAAGGTAACATCAGTGAGACCTCATCAGTAATGACACCAGGCTGTTAAATGAAGTGTGTTGAAACTGTAAATGGAGCTATAGCTTATTGATGTTTGCAAGTGTACATACAATTACTAGATGGAGAGGGGGAACAAATATTAGAGTTCAGCCAAATTTAAATTCTACCTAATTCTTTGAATAACTAGAAAGTAATATGCATCCTGAGAGTCAGACATCAAACATATGTTTACTTATCGCGTTGACATAGATTAGAACATATCTGATCTAGGTATGGTAATTTAATGTTTACAGATTAGTTCTCAGTATGTGATCACCTTTTTCTGTAAACACAATGTTTACCAGGGACTGCTGTGAATGACAACTGTTATTTGAGTCAAATGACTCCTCTCCAAACCCAGAGTAAACTCCTGACTCATTGAAACCTCTATGAGTCAGTATTCGAACAGCGCCGGAAGAAGATGGCTGCCGTTTTACAGCCCTCTAACCAATTGTACTACTATGTGTGTTTTTCCGCGTTATTTGTAATTTATTTTGTACATAATGTTTCTGCCATCGTCTCTTATAACCAAAGAGAGCTTCTGGATATCAGGACAGCGATTACTCACCTCGCGTTGGACGAAGACTTTTTCTTCAACGAGGCGTTCGCGAAGGATATTCTACAGACTCCCGACAAGGCCCAGATCCCCGTCATTCGCGTGAGGAAGAGACGGAGATATCGTGGACGCAGATCCGGGTGCCTTGTAAGGATCCGAAGGCGAACGAGTAAACTGCCTCTCCCATCAATCCTATTAGCCAATGTTCAATCTTTTGAGAATAAAATTGACGATTTAAGATTACGGTTATCCTACCAACGGGACATTAAAAACTGTAATATCTTATGTTTCACGGAGTCGTGGCTGAACGACAACAATGACAACATTCAGCTAGCAGGCTATACGCTACATCGGCAGGACAGAACGGCAAACTCCGGTAAGACGAGGGGTGGCGGTCTCTGTATATTTGTAAACAACAGCTGGTGCACAAAATCAAATACTAAGGAAGTCTCGAGGTTTTGCTCGCCTGAGGTAGAGTATCTTATGATAAGCTGTAGACCACACTATTTACCAAGAGAGTTTTCATCTATATTTTTCATAGCTGTCTATTTACCACCACAAACCAATGCTGGCATTAAGATTGCACTGAATGAGTTGTACAAGGCCATTAATCAACAGGAAAACGCTCATCCAGATGCAGCGCTCCTAGTAGCCGGGGACTTTAATGCAGGGAAACTTAAATCCGTTCTACCTCATTTCTACCAGCATGTTAAATGTGCAACCAGAGGGGAAAAAACTCTAGACCACCTTTACTCCACACACAGAGACGCATACAAAGCTCTCCCTCGCCCTCCATTTGGCAAATCTGACCATAACTCTATCCTCCTGATTCCTGCTTATAAGCAAAAACTGAAGCAGGAAGCACCAGTGATTCGGCTAATAAAAAAGTGGTCAGATGACGCAGATGCTAAGCTACAGGACTGTTTTGCTAGCACAGACTGGAACATGTTCCGGGATTCTTCAGACAGCATTGAGGAGTACACCACATCAGTCACTGGCTTCATCAATAAGTGCATCGATGATGTCGTCCCCACAGTGACCGTACGTACATACCCCAACCAGAAGCCATGGATTACAGGAAACATCCGCACTGAGCTAAAGGGTAGAGCTGCCGCTTTCAAGGAACGGGACTCTAACCCGGACGCTTATAAGAAATCCCGCTATGACCTCCGACGAACCATCAAACAGGCAAAGAGTCAATACAGGTCTAAGATTGAATCATACTACACTGGCTCTGATGCTCGTCGGATGTGGCAGGGCTTGAAAACTATTACAGACTACAAAGGGAAGCACAGCCGCGAGCTGCCCAGTGACACAAGCCTACCAGACGAGCTAAACCACTTCTATGCTCGCTTCGAGGCAAGCAACACTGAAGCATGCATGAGAGCACCAGCTGTTCCGGACGACTATGTGATCACGCTCTCCGTAGCCGATGTGAGTAAGACTTTTAAGCAGGTCAACATTCACAAGGCCGCAGGGCCAGACGGATTACCAGGACGTGTACTCCGAGCATGTGCTGACCAACTGGCAAGTGTCTTCACTGACATTTTCAACATGTCCCTGACTGAGTCTGTAATACCAACATGTTTCAAGCAGACCACCATAGTCCCCGTGCCCAAGAACTCTAAGATAACCTGCCTAAATGACTACCGACCCGTAGCACTGACGTCTGTAGCCATGAAGTGCTTTGAAAGACTGGTCATGGCTCACATCAACAGCATAATCCCAGAAACCCTAGACCCACTCCAATTTGCATACCGCCCCAACAGATCCACAGATGATGCAATCTCTATCGCACTCCACACTGCCCTTTCCCACCTGGACAACAGGAACACCTACGTGAGAATGCTATTCATTGACTACAGCTCAGCATTCAACACCATAGTGCCCTCTAAGCTCATCACTAAGCTAAGGATCCTGGGACTAAACACCTCCCTCTGCAACTGGATCCTGGACTTCCTGACGGGCCGCCCCCAGGTGGTAAGGGTAGGTAACAACACATCTGCCACACTGATCCTCAACACGGGGGCCCCTCAGGGGTGCGTGCTCAGTCCCCTCCTGTACTCTCTGTTCACCCATGACTGCATGGCTAGGCACGACTCCAACACCATCATTAAGTTTGCCGACGACACAACAGTGGTAGGCCTGATCACCGACAACGATGAGACAGCCTATAGGGAGGAGGTCAGAGATCTGGCCGTGTGGTGCCAGGACAACAACCTCTCCCTCAACGTGACCAAGACAAAGGAGATGATTGTGGACTACAGGAAAAAAAAGAGGACTGAGCACGCCCCCATTCTCATCGACGGGGCTGTAGTGGAACAGGTTGAGAGCTTCAAGTTCCTTGGTGTCCACATCACCAACGAACTATCATGGTCCAAACACACCAAGACAGTCGTGAAGAGGGCACGACAAAGCCTATTCCCCCTCAGGAGACTAAAAAGATTTGGCATGGGTCCTCAGATCCTCAAAAAATTCTACAGCTGCACCATCGAGAGCATCCTGACTGGTTGCATCACCGCCTGGTATGGCAACTGCTTGGCCTCTGACCGCAAGGCACTACAGAGGGTAGTGCGTACGGCCCAGTACATCACTGGGGCAAAGCTCCCTGCCATCCAGGACCTCTATACCAGGCGGTGTCAGAGGAAGGCCCTCAAAATTGTCAAAGACTCCAGCCACCCTAGTCATAGACTGTTCTCTCTGCTACCGCACGGCAAGCGGTACCGGAGTGCCAAGTCTAGGTCCAAAAGACTTCTCAACAGCTTCTACCCCCAAGCCATAAGACTCCTGAACAGCTAATCATGGCTACCCGGACTATTTGCACTGACCCCCCACCCCATCCTTTTTACGCTGCTGCTACTCTGTTAAGTATTTATGCATAGTCACTTTAACTCTACCCACATGTACATATTACCTCAACTACCTCAACTAGCCGGTGCCCCCGCACATTGACAATGCAACGGTACCCCCCTGTATATATAGCCTCCCTACTGTCACTTTATTTTACTGTATATATAGCCTCCCTACTGTCACTTTATTTTACTTCTGCTCTTTTTTTCTCAACACTTTTTTGTTGTTGTTTTATTCTTACTTTTTTGTTTAAAATAAATGCACTGTTGGTTAAGGGCTGTAAGTAAGCATTTCACTGTAATGTCTGCACCTGTTGTATTCGGCGCATGTGACCAATAAAATTTGATTTGATTTGATTTGATGATGAATCCTACTTGTAATGGCTATTGATCCTGAAGACAGACAGACAGAGCACCTGTTACGGATACAGGTATCCTGTATGTGTTTTTGTGTTTTTCCTCTCCTTCTGTCCTAATCACAGGTGTCCCATGTGTTCCTGATTGGAGGTCGTTGGTGTGTCTCACCTGTCAGACACCAGTTCATCTGCTGATTGCTGAGGTGGACCAAGCAGTGGCCACTTCTCCTGATTGCACCACCTATTTCTGGTTTTCATACCTAATCACATCACACATCCTCTTGCTTTAAAAGCCAGTCAGTTGTGTTTTCTGACAGAGACTCTTTTTCTTTGTGAGTATGAATACTGTGGTGTCTTGTTTTTTTGTGTACTCACTCATTTGCTGTTTACGCCATATGGTAACTATGTTGTTTGTTGGTTCCTGGGAAAAGGGGATTTTTAGCATACATTACCCGTAGGAAAACCTGAGCGGACCACCCACTGTATTTTTGTATGGTTAGCAGTAGCTTAGCGGTTCTTGAGGCAGGCAAGATCAGCTTAGTTTTTTTTGTTGACTTTATTGTTTCATTCCTTGGGTCCTGTTCAGCCCCTTTTCCCCAAACCTTTACCGTGTGTATATAATAAACCTTTTTGTGTTTGACGGTAGCTTTTTGGTTGTCGGCGTATTTTTGTTCTCACTGTTCCATGGCAATATTCTAATTCACATGAGTTATGTTACAGGTCTCTTTTCCATCCACAGGGTTCGTAACATAATGTGGGGTTTCGTCTGGGATCTCTCATTGATACCAATGCCACTCATGCAAATTGGTTTAGTGTCTGGTTCAGTGTTGAGCTTGGCAGCTGTGACTAGCTGGTTTCGTGTACAGTATTTGTCGGCTCGTGTTGCTAGCTTAAGATGGCTACTTTTGATTTGGATGCCTTTTTGAATAACCCTACGTGGGAGGTTTTTTGATAATTGCCGTAGAGTGGATCTACAGGCTTTGGCTGCCCACTTTTCTATACCCATAGCGAGGGTTTTAGTTAAAGCGGAAGTTAGGAAAGTGGTGTTAGAGGTATTATTGAACGAGCGAGTGCTTGAGTTACCGCCGCCTGAGCCTGCAGCTCCTGTAGGGGATGTGGCTGCTGCTCCTGTAAGCCCGTCAGTGTCTGAGGACGAGGGCGAGGCTAAGGCTCCAGCCACATTGCCCCGTTTTGACCCAGAGGATAGCTTGTGTGCTACCTCTGGTAAGGTGGTGCGGTCTGACCAACAGCCCAGGGAAGGGGAGAAGTATGTGGAACTTCTTGCTGATGCAAAACAGTTACCAGTCACTCGTGAGCAGCTGATTGCTAACCAAAATGTTGAAATTTGCCTGGCTAAACGTTTCTCTAGTGTTGTCTCAGAGGAGGAGCTAAAGAAGAAAAACATGGCATACTTCATTGATGGTAATCTCCTCATGCGTAAATGGACATCCCATGTTGACGCTGGCGGAGATTGGAATGCTGTTTACCAAATAGTGATTCCTACAGCCTTTCGACAAAATGTTTTATCCCTCGCTCATGATCACCAGTGGTCCAGACATCTAGGAGTCACCAAGACTTATGATCGGATTTTGCGACATTTCTTTTGGCCTGGTTTAAAACAAGATGTGGCTCAGTTCTGTCGGACATGCCACACCTGTCAAGTAACTGGGAAACCGAACCAGGTTATTCCTCCCGCTCCTCTTTGTCCCATACCTGTCATAGGTGAACCATTCGAACATGTGATTGTTGATTGTGTTGGACCATTACCGAAGATAAAAAAAGTTGGTAACCAGTTTCTGTTGACAGTTATGTGTGTGGCCACCAGATACCCAGAGGCCATTCCTCTGCGAAGGATTACTGCTCCGGTGGTGAGTAAAGCTTTGATCAAATTCTTCTCAACTTTTGGGTTACCTAAGGTGGTACAAACTGATTAAGGTACGAATTTCCTTTCTAAGCTTTTCAAACAGGTGTTAAAATCCTTGTCAGTTACACACCGTGTGTCAAGCGCATATCACCCAGAGTCTCAGGGTGCGCTTGAACGTTGGCATCAGACACTGAAGTCTATGCTCTGTAAATATTGTTTGGAATCTGAGAAGGATTGGGATGAAGGAGTTCCTCTAGTTTTTTTTGCTGTCCGCGAGACGGTACAGGAATCCCTAGGGTTCAGCCCAGCTGAACTGGTGTTTGGACACACAGTGAGAGGACCTATGAAAGTCCTTAAGGATCAGTTTTTATCACAAGAGATGTGTGTGAAAGAAAATGTGTTGGACTATATTAGTCACTTTCGTGAGCGCCTACATGGTGCCTGTGCTCTGGCAAAGGAAGCGCTGTCTTCCTCACAGAGATGTGTGAAACAGCACTATGACAACCAGGCTGTTTCTCGTTCGCTGCAGCCGGGTGACCAAGTTCTTGTATTATTGCCTGTGCCAGGAGCGTCATTGTCAGCACGTTTCTCTGGTCCTTATGTAATTGAAAAGAAACTAAGTGACACTGATTATGTGATACAGACTCCCGATAGAAAACACAAATCTCGTGTGTTTCACATTAACATGTTGAAGACATACCACACCAGACCCATCACCCAGATAGACAGTCCAGAGAAACTGGCCGAGACGGCTGTCTCTATTGCTGCTGCGGCTGTAGTGGGATGTCATGTTAATGATGTGGACGGAGATGGTTTGGAGTTGCGCAATACTCAGCAGCAGTGTGCTAGATTGACCAATTCAGAGATGCTGCTGTCTCTCCCGTCAAGCCTGACTCATTGGACGGACAGACAGATGATATTGTGAGGCTATTACAGCTTTCCATGTCTTTTTAATGATGTTCCTACACGCACAAATGTGTTAAAACATGACATTAATGTCGGAAACGCTGCACCTATCAAGCAACATGCTTATCGTGTCAACGTCTCTAAAAGAAAGATAATGAGGGATGAGGTCGGTTATTTGCTGGAGAATAACCTGGCTATGCCAAGTTCAAGTCCTTGGAGTTCTCCGTGCATTCTGGTTCCCAAACCTGATGGGACATCCAGGTTATGTCTCTGCGGTAGTTGCTCCATTTACGGATTCGCTCAGTCCTGCGAGAAAATGTGTATGGTCTGCGGATTGTCATACTGCTGTAGTTTATTAAGATTAAGACTTTCTTAATGGAACCAGAGGGGATGTTTATGTTAGTTCAAAAGTAGCCATTTGTAGGGTGACGCCCCAGGGGAGACAGGTGATTGGACAGCAGAGGGAGCAACCCATATTTTTGCATTGTTTATAAGTATATGCTGGAGGCAGAAGAGGTTAGAGCAGCCATTGCAATCTGGGACGTTGCTCTCCGGGTGATCTTGACACCTGTAACTCATGCTGAAAGCTTGTGATATGAATAAACTTATGATCAAGGTTCAGTATGAGCGGACTCCTTTGTTTATCAGCAATGACTGGCAACTTTTACTCGATACTACACTGCTTTCAACATTGCTAAAACACTCTTGTTCTTGCTGCTCCAGATTTTGAACGGCTGTTTAAACTTGAGGTAGATGCCTGTGCCAGAGGTGCTGGTGCTGTTCTACTGCAGCCAGACCAGAGTGGAGTGGACCATCTTGTCTGTTGTTTTTTGCGGAAATTTAACAAATGTCAAACTAACTATTCAACCATTGAACAAGAAGCTCTAGCTTTGTTAGCTCTGCAGTACTTCGAAGTCTGCTGGTTCCAGTGCACTACCAGTGATAGTGTATACTGACCATAACCCCTTAATTTTTCTCCACCGTATGAACAACCAGAACCAACGCCTTATGCGTTGGGCAGTTGTTGTGCAAAAATATAATTTGGAGATCCGCCACAAAAAGGGTTCGGATAATGTGATGACAGATGCTTTGTCTCGTGTTTAGAGATATAGGATTTATTTTCTATCCCTGAGGATGTTTTTGCTCTTTGAATTTGTTTTGTGTATTGTGATAGTACTTGAATCGCAAACCATTGTGGTTGGGAGTGTTACGGATACAGGTATCCTGTATGTGTTTTTCCTCTCATTCTGTCCTAATCACAGGTGTCCCTTGTGTTCCTGATTGGAGGTCGTTTGTGTGTCTCACCTGTCAGTCACCAGTTCATCTGCTGATTGCTGAGGTGGACCAAGCAGTAGCCACTTCTCCTGATTGCACCACCTGCTTTCTGGTTTTCATACCTAATCACATCGCACATCCTCTTGCTTTAAAAGCCAGTCAGTTGTGTTTTCTGACACTCTTTTTGTTTGCGAGTATGGATACTGTGGTGTCTTGTTTTTTGTGTACTCACTCATTTGCTGTTTACACTGTTTGTTTGTTCCTGGGAAAAGGGGATTTTTAGCAAGTCGCCCTTGGGCATACATTACCCGTAGGAAAACCTTGTCTAAAAACACTAGTTAGACCTGAGCGGACCACCCACTGTATTTTGTATGGTTAGCGGTTCTTGAGGCAGGCAAGCTCAGCTTAGTTTTTTTTGTTGACTTTGTTTCATTCCTTGGGTCCTGCTCAGCCCCTTTTCCCCAAACCTTTACTGTGTGTTTATAATAAACATTTTTGTGTTTGACGGTAGCTTTTTGGTTGTCGGTGTATTTTTGTTCTCACTGTTCCATGGCAATATTCTAATTCGCATGAGTTATGTTACGGGTCTCTTTTCTATCCACCCTAGCCTTTTAAAGCCACAGGGTTTGTAACAGCCCCCAAAGATGCTGTTTGTTACCTTTTCATGATGTTGAGGACGCTGATGGGCAGGTAGCAGATGACAAAGAGCACCACCATCAGCATGCGGGCGGTCTTCCTGCGGGCCAGAACCTGTTTGATCTCAGCGGACACTGCTGGTCCGGACCCTGACTGACTCCCCAGGTCCTGGTGGATAAGCGGAGCCCTGAAGAGATCTTCACTTCCTCTGCAGCACAGATGACACCCCAGGGATCTGTTTACAGAACACACAACCCACAGCACATCAGACTGTGTTCATTGAAGAGCTTTTGGTTGACAGACAAAGCATTCAAAACGCTCAATGGAATGGATCTGAACATTGGGGTTCATGATCTGAGAATGCATTGTCAAATAACTACAAGGATAATGGACACTGATAACTTGGTGACTGCATGATCAAGAAATACATTTGGAGAATCAACAAACAAATAGCCATATTGCCAAAAAACAGTGCAAATGTTGTCTGATATTGTTCACAAACATGAATTTACATACATACCTGTTGACACCACAGCTTATGGCATATTTGGATGTTTGCCAGAACCATAAGAAAGAGCGGCGCAAAGTATGTGGCAATGAAGAAACATATGTGATACACCTTGGGGTAGACATCAGCTGTTGAGAGAACAAAATATGACTTATAAATGATTGTGACATAGATGTAGACAGCTGGATAGGGAGGCTTTACTGTAGGAATCGTGGTGGTAATTTGTAAAATGCAAAGGGGAAACAAACATCAAATCACCTTTATTTAACCAGGTAAGCCAGTTGAGAACAAGTTCTCCATTTACAACTGCGACCTGGCCAAGATAAAGCAAAGCAGTGCGATAAAAACACAGAGTTACATATGGGGTAAACAAAACAAAGTCAAAAATACAACAGAAAATATATATACAGTGTGTGCGAATGTAGTAAGTTATGGAGGTAAGGCAATAAATAAATAGGCCATAGTGCAAAAATAGTTACAATTTCGTAATTAACACTGGAATGATAGATGTGCAATAGATTATGTGCAAATAGAGATACTGGGGTGCAAATTAGCAAAATAAATAACAGTATGGGGATGAGGTAGTTGGGTGGGCTAATTTCAGTCCCCTGTAGCTCAGTTGGTAGAGCATGGCGCTTGCAACGCCAGGGTTGTGGGTTCGTTTCCCACGGGGTGGCAGTATGAAAATGAAAATGTATGCACTCACTAACTGTAAGTCGCTCTGGATAAGAGCATCTGCTAAATGACTAAAATATAAATGTAATGTGCTTCACAGAAAAAGACTAAAAAACTATTAAAAGAAAAACAGAAATATTTACTACACAATGTCTACATTTATGTACATATCTATCAGTAACATGCATGAGCTTGTAGTTACTGCATGAATCTAAAATGAGTGGCAAGACAGAACTGTGTATCAGAGCCTGTCAAAGGAAATGATGAGATTGTGCTGAAATATGGTTCCTATTACAGAAAGGTTCAGCGGAACAAAGATTACATTCTACACTTTAAGAAATAACAATTGAATCATTGACAGGAATGAACTGCAAAGCAGGAATACTGTAACTTTAGACCACAGGTGTCAAACTCATTCCACGGAGGGCCGAGCATCTGCATGTTTTCACTCCTCCCTTGTACTTGATTGATCAATTAAGGTCACTGATTAGTTAGGAACTCCCCTCACCTGGTTGTAGGTCTTAATTGGGCACATTGAAAGGAAATAATCAAATCAAATCAAGCTTTATTTATACAGCACATTTCAGACATGAAATGCAACACAATGTGCTTCACAATGAAAATAAAAAACGAAATATTTAATAACAAAAATGAAATGAGTTTGACACATTGCTGGCAATATAACTGTCCCCATATAGCAGGGGTGTCCAACTCATTCCATGGAGGGCCTAATGTCTGCTGGTTTTTGTTTTTTCCTTTCAATTAAGACCTAGACAACCAGGTGAGGGGAGTTCCTTACTAACTAGTGACCTTAATTCATCAACCAATTCCAAGGGAGGAGCTAAAACTGGCAGACACTCGGCCCTTCATGGAATGAGTTTGACAAGTGCCATATGGCAAAAAATATATATGTTTTGCTCAATCTGATTGGGTTGGCCTGGCAGGGCCTGGCTCCCCAGTGGGTGGGCCTGTGTCCACCCAGGGCCACCCATGCCTACGCCCCTGCTTTGAAGTTGACAGAGTTTACATGAGGACACATTCCTGCAAAGGTTTTCCACCCTAAAACGAATTTGAGAGATTAAGTATTTTAATCTCATTCAATCGATAGCCTTGACACATTAATTTCTCTTCTATCTAAACAATTTTGCTGCCAGTAGTTGAAAGGTTTTCTGTGTGAGAGTATTTGTCTGTAGCAATCAGACAGGCAATGTTTAATCTCTCAATACCACAAGGATGACTCAAGTGAAGTTTAGTCTAGTGCTGTAGATTGGTTATCTTTGAATGCAGCAGGTAAAGTCATTACTTAATGTATTGAGTTTATGTACCAATTCATCATCACTGGGGCTGAGCTCCCTGCCATCCAGGACCTCTATACCAGGTGGTGTCAGAGGAAGGCCCTACAAAGACTCCAGCCACCCAAGTCATAGACTGTTTTCTCTGCTACCGCATGGCAAGCCCAATGCACCAAGTCTGGAACCAACAGGACCCTGAACAGCTTCTACCCCCAAGCAATAACACTGCAAAATGGTTAGTTAATTAGTTAACCAAATAGCTACCCGGACTATCTGCATTGATCCTTTTTGCACTAACTTTTCTGACACATCACATATGCTGCTGCTACTGTTTATTATGTATCCTGTTGCCTAGTCACTTTATGCCTAGTTATATGTATATATCTACCTCAATTACCTCGTACACCTGCACATCGACTCGGTACCTACCCCATGTTATCATTACTTGTGTATTTATTACTATGAGTTATTACTTTTCTATTATTTCTCTATTCTCTTTTTCTCTGCCTTGTTGGGAAGGGCCCGTAAGCATTTCACTGTTAGTCTACACCTGTTGTTTACGAAGACTGTGACGAATACAATTTAATTGTATTTTATTCTGGGGTCAATTTGACTAATGGTTCATGTTATTTTCAGCGTTACTTTGAATGCAGGAATTTTTTTTATCTCAAAACCGTTAAAGACTAATGTAATGAATCTGAATACAAAATCTGGAGTGAATCTGATGTATGGTTCATGAGGAGAAGACGATTGCAGATGATTTTGAGCATTAGCGTTACACATGTTCCAAGATGGCGAAGCAGTGCGGTCGTGTTCTCTTGTTTGTCCATGTAAATAGCCTGTTTGTTTTTGTTTTTTTTGTATTTTACGTATATATTTCCCTATCACACTTTTCATCCTTCTACTGAATATACTTTCCTGCAACCCGCCTCACTCAATGTGGAACGGATTCTATTATTTACTCACCTTTATCTATAATCTCCAGTTGAAACTAGCCAGCCAGCTAACTAGCTAACTAGCTACTTGCTATTAGCCACCATTAGCGGTTTTCACCCAGAACATCGGATTTTCTGCCGGAATAACTGAATCACTGGACCTTAACACCGGATATAGCTAGCCGCAACCGAATGGATGTCGAATGGATGTTGCTGTAGGCTAATCACCACTGCCCCCGAAGCACCAGTTAGCCTTGAGCCTTGAGCTAGCCCCGGCTATCTACCTCTCTGTCTTACGGACGGGAGTAGCCAGCTAACCAGCTAACTAGCTACTTGCTATTAGCCACCGTTATCGGATTTTCTCCATTGTCCGTGGCCTGGACTATTATCGGCCAGTCTGCACTGTCTGCACAGCGCGTTATCAACCCAGAACCTATCGGATTTTCTGCCAGAATCACTGAATCACTGGACCTTTAACACTGGATAATCACAACTAGCTAGCTGCAACCAAATGAACGTTGTTGTTAGCTAATCAGCCTTGAGCTAGCCTTGAGTCAGGCACATCTTCCGGATATCTACCTCTCTGTCAACCGGACGGGACCTCCTAGAGTCGACACGGAGCCCTGCCGATCCATCACGACTGGTCTGCCGACATAATCGTCTGTGGTTTCAACAGGCTTCCCATTGCGACGACCACGAAGATCCATCTGCTAACTCCTGAGTGGCGCAGTGGTCTAAGGCACTGCATCGCGGTGCTAACTGTGCCACTAGAGATCCTGGTTCGAATCCAGGCTCTGTCGCAGCCGGCCGCGACCGGGAGACTCATGGGCGGCGCACAATTGGCCCAGCGTCGTCCAGGGAAGGGGAGGGAATGGCCGGCAGGGATGTAGCTCAGTTGATAGAGCATGGCGTTTGCAACGCCAGGGTTGTGGGTTCGATTCCCACGGGGGGCCAGTATGAAAAATATAAAAAAAAAAATTATGTATGCGCTCACTAACTGTAAGTCGCTCTGGATAAGAGCGTCTGCTAAATGACTAAAATGTAAAATGTAATGTAAATGCTAGCCCCGGCCCGCTAGCACACGCAAACAACAACCGTGCTTCCTGCTCGCTGTGCTGAAGCACCAATTCGAACTGCTCTCGGACTCACATATTGCTGTTCACTGGACCTTATGATCACTCAGCTGCACAGCTGATGCCTGCTGGACTGTTCCTTTACACGGTACCCTGTCCTGTTTATCTGTTTAGCCTCAGCCCAAACTTTATCGCCATTACCAGTTGTTGTCTTAGCTCTCTCTAATAACACCTGTGATTGCTTTATGCCTCTCTCCCATGTCAATATGCCTTGCCTATTGCTGTTCCAGATAGTTATTATTATACAATTTCACTGTAGAATCCCAAGTCCCTCTCAAACTGCCTCAAATAGTTCCTTTGTTCCACCCCCCATACACGCCGAGACCGGCTCAATCGGTGCCTCCAGTGATGCTATCTCTTTCATTGTTACCCAACGCTTAGGTTTACCTCCACTGTACTCATATCCTTCCATATCCTTGTCTGTACATAATGCCCTGAATCTTTTCCACAACGCCCGGAAATCTGCCCCCAACGCACTAGAAGACCAGTTATTAAAGCCTTTAGCCGTATCCTTATTCTATTCCTCCTCTGTTCCTCTGGTGATGTAGAGGCTAACCCAGGCCCTGCAGCCCACAGTATCACTGCTACTCCCCAGGAGCTATCATTTGATGACTTCTGTAACCGTAAAAGCCTTGGTTTTCTGCACGTTAACATCAGAAGCCTCCTTCTTAAGTTTGAGTTATTCAATGCGTTAGCACACTCCGCCAACCCTGATGTTCTAGCAGTGTCTGAATCCTGGCCTAGGAAGGCCACCAAACATTCTGAAATGTCCATCCCCAACTACAACATTTTCCGTCTAGATAGAACTGCCAAAGGGGGTGGAGTTGTAATCTACTGTAGAGAAAGACTGCAGAGCTCTATCATACTATCCAGGTCTTTGCCCAAACAGTTTGAGCTTCTACTTCTAAAAATCCACCTTTCCAGAAATAAGTATTTCACTGTTGCCGCTTGCTACAGACCCCCCTCAGCCCCCAGCTGTGCCCTGGACACCATATGTGAATTGATTGCCCCCCATTTATCCTCAGAGTTCATACTGCTTGGTGACATAAATTGGGATATGCTTAACACCCCGGCCATCCTACAATCCAAACTAGATGCCCTCAATCTCACACAAATTATCAACGAACATACCAGGTACAACCCTAAATCCGTAAACATGGGTACCCTCATAAATATCATCCTGACTAACTTACCCTCTAAATACACCTCCGCTGTCTTCAACCAGGATCTCAGCGATCACTGCCTTATTGCCTGCGTCTGTAACAGGTCCGCAGTCAAACGACCACCCCTCATCACTGTCAAACGCTCCCTAAAACACTTTAGCGAGCAGGCCTTCCTAATTGACCTGGCCCAGGTATCCTGGATGGATATCGATCTCATTCTGTCAGTAGAGGATGCCTGGTTGTTCTTTAAAAGTAATTTCCTCTCAATCTTAAATAAACATGCCCCATTCAAAAAATACAGAACTAAGAACAGATATAGCCCCTGGTTCTCCTCAGACTTGACTTCCCTTGACCAGCACAAAAACATCCTGTGGCATCCTCCCAGCTGCCCACTGCACTGAGGCTAGGAAACACTGTCACCACCGATAAATCTACAATAATCGAGAATTTCAACAAGCATTTTGCTACGGCTGGCCATGCTTTCCACGTGGCTAACACTATCCCGGCCACCAGCTCTGCACCCTCCACTGCAACTTGCCCATGCCCCACCCACATCTCCTTCACACAAATTCAGACAGCTGATGTTCTGAAAGAGCTGCAAATTCTGGACCCCTACAAATCATCTGGGCTAGACAATCTGGACCCTTTCTTTCTAAAACTAGCCAACGAAATTGTCGCAACCCCTATTACTAGCCTGTTCAACCTCTCTTTCGTAACGTCTGAGATCCCCAGAGATTGGAAAGCTGCCGCAGTCATCCCCCTCTTCAAAGGGGGTGACACTCTAGATCCAAACTGTTACAGACCTATATCCATCCTGCCCTGCCTTTCGAAAGTTTTTGAAAGCCAAGTTAACAAACAGATCACCAACCATTTCGAATCCCACCGTACCTTCTCCGCTATGCAATCCGGTTTCCGAGCTGGTCATGGGTGCACCTCAGCCACGCTCAAGGTCCTAAACGATATTCTAACCGCGATCAATAATAGACAGTACTGTGCAGCCCTCTTCATCGACCTGGCCAAGGCTTTCGACTCTGTCAACCACCGCATTCTTATTGGCAGACTAAATAGCCTTGGTTTCTCAAATGACTGCCTCGCCTGGTTCACCAACTACTTCTCAGATAGAGTTCAATGTGTGAAATCGGAGGGCCTGTTGTCTGGACCTATGGCAGTCTCTATGGGGGTGCCACAGGGTTCAATTCTTGGGCCGACTCTGTTCTCCGTGTATATCAATGATGTCGCTCTTGCTGCTGGTGACTCTCAGATCCACCTCTACGCAGACGACACCATTTTGTATACATCTGGCCCTTCATTGGACACTGTGTTAACAAACCTCCAAACGAGCTTCAATGCCATACAACACTCCTTCAGTAGCCTCCAACTGCTCTTAAACACTAGTAAAACTAAATGCATTCTCTTCAATCGAACGCTGCTGGCACCCGCCCACCCGACTAGAATCACTACTCTCGACGGGTCTGACCTAGAGTATGTGGACAAGACTGTAAACTCTCCTTCCAGACTCACATTAAGAATCTCCAATCCAAAGTTAAATCTAGAATCGGCTTCCTATTTCGCAACAAAGCCTCCTTCACGCATGCTGCCAAACATGCCCTCGTAAAACTGACTATCCTACCGATCCTTGACTTCGGCGATGTCATTTACAAAATAGTTTCCAACACTCTACTCAGCAAATTGGATGTAGTCTATCACAGTGCCATCCGTTTTGTCACCAAAGCCCCATATACCATCCACCACTGTGACCTGTACCTGTTGGCTGGTCCTCACTACATATTCGTCGCCAAACCCACTGACTCCAGGCCATCTATAAATCACTGCTAGGCAAATCCCTGCCTTATCTTAGCTCATTGGTCACCATAGCAACACCCACCCGTAGTGTGCGCTCCAGCAGGTTTATCTCACTGGTCATCCCCAAAGCCAACACCTCCTTTGGCCGCCATTCCTTCCAGTTCTCTGATGCCAATGACTGGAACGAATTGCAAAAATCTCTGAAGCTGGAGACTCTTATCTCCCTCACTAACTTTAAGCATCAGTTGTCAGAGCACCTTACCGATCACTGCACCTGGACACAGCCCATCTGAAATTAGCCCACCCAACTACCTCATCCCCATATTGTTATTTATTTTGCTCATTTGCACCCCAGTATCTCTATTTGCACATCATCTCTTGCATATCTATCATTCCAGTGTTAATACTAATTGTAATTATTTTGCACTATAGCCTATTTATTGCCTTACCTCCATAACTTGCTACATTTACACACACTGTATATATATTTTCTGTTGTATTTTTGACTTTATGTTTTGTTTTACCCCATATGTAACTCTGTGTTGTTGTTGTTTTTATCGCACAGCTTTGCTTTATCTTGGCCAGGTCGCAGTTGTAAATGAGAACTTGTTCTCAACTGGCTTACCTGGTTAAATAAAGGTGAAATAAAAATAAAATAAAAAAACATGCAAATAATGAGTTGTTAATAGTTTCCTTGTTTTTTGAGATATCCATACCAAATTCAGTTTGCTTTATTTTAGGGACGTCCATGATATCAATGACACGTTTCAAGTTGATAGGCTACTGTGGAGTGGATTTACAGTTGTTTAAATGGAATAATATTTATGAAGTATTTTTAGCGTAATTTAACATATTAGCGTATGTGCTAATATGCATCTACTGGTATAGTGTGGCCATCTTTGAATGCATCAATGTTATTTGTGAATATGGTGATGAGTCCAAAGACCACATTTGGATCTGACTTTTAATCCATGAGAAGACAACTTTCTATGATTATTTTAAGCTTTAGCGTTACAATGTGACTTTAAAAAACATTGTTAACAGTTTCCTTATTCTTTAAAATAGGCCATTGAGGTGTGGATTTAGAAAGGATTTTAATGGACATGTAAAATCAGATTACCTGATTGATTTGGTGTTATTTGGACTCATGGTTCATGAGAATGTTTTTCAAAGTTTTTCCAAGATGGAGGAAAATCTATTGACTGACTGACTTTATGGGTCCTTGAGGCAAATTTGTTCAGCATGAGGAAAGACACCTACATACAAAGTTTCAAGTCTCTAGGTCAAACTAGGTGACAGATACGTGGGTTTGAGTGAGACTGGTTATAATAGCGCCACCTATACACCAATTGGTGCCATTCTTTGGGGCCAAGTTACTCATGGCCTGTAGTTTCTGTGTGACAAATTAGGAAAAAAAGTTATCAATCTATGCTTGAGTTATTTTACCATGTCAAATAAAAAACACAAATCAGAGAATTACAATAAATTAAACATGCATGTCCCTAAACATAGGGTCTAGGTAGATTACAGTTTTTTCTATATCGAGTCAGCATGGATGTAGCATGTATATTATTAATTGAGTAGAATTCAAAAGGTACCTGCCCATGTAGAAATAACTTGCAGGAGGCCTAGATAGAAAAATATTTTAGCTATTTAATTACATGCTTGACAGTAGATGTTGGCATGGCGCCGAAACCTATGCTTTCTGTTTGCACTTAAAAAATCCATTATGTATAATTCATGTGCAATTTATATCTATAGGCTACATTGAGGTTTTTCTTTAATTATTTTAGGCTATCTGGCACACCAATTGCCAAATGCTTTTGGGAACAGACAGAAAAAGTTAACGTTGATCCACAGAGGCAAAAATGACAATGTTGGAGTTTAATTGGGCTCCCGAGTGGCGCAGCGGTCTAAGGCACTGCATCTCAGTGCTTGAGGTGTCACTACAGACCCCCTGGTTTGATTCCAGGCTGTATCACAACCGGCCGTGATTGGGAGTCCCATAGGGCCCAGCGTCGTCCGGGTTTGGCCGGTGTAGGCCGTCATTGTAAATAAGAATTTGTTCTTAACTGACTTGCCTAGTTAAATAAAGGTAAAATAAAATTTAAAAAAAAAATAGAGAGTAAAATAAAGAGTAATGTTTGGGGATTTGGTGAAGTGGTAAAAGATTATGATATCAGTGCGGGGTATGTTATGTGTGATGATTGTGAGGCACTATACAAATTTGACAGTCACAAGATGGGGACTTCAAATAGGCCTATGGCACATCAAGGGAACTGTAGCCTACTGTTCAGATGGGTTAAATGAAATCTGGACACTGACTGTAGGTCTATAACCTCTCACATAACCTTAATATTAACTCCTGCAGAATTAAGCATTTCTTGCAGTAAAATGATATACCAAATGTAGGCTATGTTTCGACTCGGAAACAGGAATGGAGAAATATGGTTTCTTTCTTTCAGCATCTTGAGAGAATGCGAATGCGTAGTTAGATACTGTCTCTAGAGGTGCTATCTTTATCAGCATCATAGAAGCTGATAGTATTTCAACCACATAAAATATGCATCCAAGCTGAAATGATATCTCATCAGAAACATGCTGGGTTGTTTTCACAGCTTTCTATTTCCTTTCTATTTCCTGTTGCTTAGTTATTGTATTTTCTTCATGGATGACAGAACTTTACCGATGTCAACTAGATTGAAGCATTCATTCTACCGATTTATGACATTATTCTGGTGAGCAAGGGTTTATTTAGTCTTCTAGGGCTACATCTAATGACAGAGGAGAAGCTGCATGTATCTAATTATAGACAAGTTGACTAACAAATAGCTTACCAAAATGTTGGAAATTATAAGCAGAAACATATCTCAATCAGGCAACAACAAAAAAATCCTGTACCCCCTGTCAAAAAATCTTTCCGCCATCTCTGACTGTAGCCTACAGCCCATTTTCTATATTAGCGGGTTAGGGTTGGCGGGTCAGATTTTCACTTTATTACATACTGTATAGTCGGGCTGTTGCAGATAGGTTATTAGCAATTGCGGGCGTGTGAACAAACAGCTGACCTGGGCACCACTAATGGGCAGGATTTGTACTTTTGGGACTAGTCCAGTGGAGTACTCAATTGCTCCAGGCAATCTCAATCAAATCAATCCATCAGAGCAAGAGTATTAGTACTTGGTCTAATCTGGGGTTACAGTGCCTTGGCGAGATTCCATAGCATTGAGAGGAGGGATTTTGTGGATGCCTGCCTACCTCCCCAGTGTTCATCACACACAGTGAAAAGGCTGGTTTTGTTGGTGAGCTCAGGGAGCAGGCTGCTGCACTCCATCACGATGGCTTGAGGGATCATGATGACACAGGAGACCACCCAGATGAGGATGATACTCTTGCGGGCGCACCTGGCCATGCTTTTTAACATCAGCGGGTGGCAGATTGCATACCAGCGGTCTAGGGCGATGCAGCTCAGAGTCAGGACTGACACAGATACAGAGAATGTCTGGGAGATTGAAAAAGAGGAGATGCAAAATGATTAAGCAAAGTGAAACAGTAAAAAAAGTACTAGACTTAATATAGATACTTGCTGAGAGACAATAACACTACATGTAAAATCAGTTTCCACTCAGTAATTAGGTTTATGGATTTATATTAACCATAACACTTTCTAGAGATAATTTCGCAATTTCAAATTATAAAAAGGTATCACCTACGTGGCTCTGATGAATACCCTCTGTAATATACACAGTGTACAAAACATTTGGAACACCTTCCTAATATTGAGTTGCACCCCCTTTTACCCTCAGAACAGCTTCAATTCGTTGGGGCATGGACTTTACAAGATGTCCAAAGCATTCCACAGGGATGCTAGCCCATGTTGACTCCAATGCTTGCCGAAGTTGTGTCAAGTTGGCTGGATGTCCTTTGGATGGTGGATCATTCTTGATACACACGGAAAACTGTTTAGCGTGTAAAATCCAGCAGCATTGCAGTTCTGGACACAAACTGATGCGACTGGCCTACTACCATATCCTGTTCAAAGGCAAAATTAAATATTTTGTTTTGTTCATTCACTCTCTGAATAGCGCACATACACAATCCATGTCTCAATTGTCTCAAGGCTTAAACATCTTTCTTTAACCTGTCTCTTCCCCTTCATCTACACTGATTGAAGTGGATTTAACGAATTACGTCAAGGGTTCATAGCTTTCACCAGGATTCACATGGTCAGTCTATGTTATGGAAAAAGCAGCTGTTCTTAATGTTTTGTACACTCAGTATTCAGACCCCTTGACTTTTTCCACATTTTGTTACGTTAAAATTGATTAAATTGTTGTTTTCCCTCATCAATCTACACACAATACCCCATAATGACAAAGCAAAAACACGTTTTTAGCAATTTTCGCAAACATTACATTTACATAAGTATTCAGACCCTTTACTCAGTACTTTGTTGAAGCACCTTTGGCAGCAATTACAGCCATGAGTCTTCTTGGGTATGACACTACAAGCTTGGTACACCTGGACAAGAGGAACACCTACGTGAGAATGCTATTCATTGACCACAGCTCAGCGTTCAACACCATAATGCCCTCAAAGCTCATCACTAAGCTAATGATCCTGGGACTCAACACCTCCCTCTGCAACTGGATCTTGGACTTCCTGACGGGCCGCCCCCAGGTGGTAAGGGTAGGTAACAACACATCTGCCACGCTGATCCTCAACACGGGGGAACCTCAGGGGTGTGTGCTCAGTCCCCTCCTGTACTCCCTGTTCACCTATGACTGCATGGCCAGGCACGACTCCAACATCATCATTAAGTTTGCAGACGACACAACAGTGGTAGGCCTGATCACCGACAACGATGAGACAGCCTATAGGGAGGTCAGAGACCTGGCCGTGTGGTGCCAGGATAACAACCTCTCCCTCAACGTGACCAAGACAAAGGAGATGATTGTGGACTATAGGAAAAAAAAGAGGACTGAGCACGCCCCCATTCTCATCGACGGAGCTGTAGTGGAACAGGTTGAGAGCTTCAAGTTCCTTGGTGTCCACATCACCAAGAAACTATCATGGTCCAAACACACCAAGACAGTCATGAAGGGGGCACGACAAAGCCTATTCCCCCTCAGGAGACTGAAAAGATTTGGCATGGGTCCTCAGATCCTCAAAAAGTTATACAGCTGCACCATCGAGAGCATCCTGAATGGTTGCATCACCACCTGGTATGGCAACTGCTCGGCCTCCGACCGCAAGGCACTACAGAGGGTAGTGCGTACGGCCCAGTACATCACTGGGGCCAAGCTTCCTGCCATCCAGAACCTCTATACCAGGCGGTGTCAGAGGAAGGCCCTCAAAATTGTCAAAGACTCCAGCCACCCTAGTCATAGACTGTTCTCTCTGCTACCACACGGTAAGCGGTACTGGAAAGCTAAGTCTAGGTCCAAAAGGCTTGTCAACAGCTTCTACCCCCAAGCCATAAGACTCCTGAACAGCTAATCATGGCTACCCGGACTATTTGCACTGCCCCCCCCACCCCCACCCCATCTTTTTACGCTGCTGCTACTCTGTTAATTATTTATGCATAGTCACTTTAACTCTACCCACATGTACATATTTCCTCAACTAGCTGGTTCCCCCGCACATTGACTCTGCACCGGTACCACCCTGTAGATAGCCTCCCTACTGTTATTTTATTTTATTTCTGCTCTTTTTTTCTCAACACTTTTTTGTTGTTGTTGTTTTATTTTCCTTTTTAAAAAATAAAATAAATGCATTGTTGGTTAAGGGCTGTAAGTAAGCATTTCACGGTAATGTCTACACCTGTTGTATTCGGCGCATGTGACAAATAACATTTGATTTGATTTATTTGGGGAGTTTCTCCCATTCTTCTCTGCACATCCTCTCAAGTTCTGTCAGGTTGTATGGGGAGCATCGCTACACAGCTATTTTCAGGTCTCTCCAGAGATGTTAGACCAGGTTGGAGTCCAGGCTCTGGCTAGGCCACTCAAGGACATTCAGAGACTTGTCCCGAAGCCACTCCAGTGTTGACTTGGCTGTGTGCATAGGGTCGTTGTCCTGTTGGAAGGTGAACCTTTGCCCCAGTCTGCGGTCCTAAGCGCTCTGGAGCAGGTTTTCATCAAGGATCTCTCTGTACTTTGCTCTGTTCATCTTTCCCTCGATCCTGACTAGTCTCCCAGTCCCTGCCGCTGAAAGACATCCCCACAGCATGATGCTGCCACCACCATGGTCTGAGAGACTCGCAGACCATGTGAAACAAGATTCTCTGGTCTGATGAAAACAAGATTGAACTCTTTGGCCTGAATGCTAAGCGTCACGTCTGTAGGAAACCTGGCAGGTTCCTTTTGGCAAACTCCAAGCGGCCTGTCATGTGCCTTTTACTGAGGAGTGGCTTCCGTCTGGCCACTTGTCCTTCTGGAAGGTTCTCCCATCTCCACAGAGGAACTCTGGAGCTCTGTCGGAGTGACCATCGGGTTCTTGATCACCTTCCTGACCAAGGCCCTTCTCCCCTGATTGATCAGTTTGGCTGGGCGGCAAGCTCTAGGAAGAGTCTTGGTGGTTCCAAACTTCTTCCATTTAAGAATGATGGAGGCCACTGTGTTCTTGGGGACCTTCAATGCTGCAGATATTTTTGGGTACCCTTCCCCAGATCTGTGTCTCGACACAATCCTGTCTCGGAGCTCTACGAACAATTCCTTCGACCTCATGGCTTGGTTTTTGCTCTGACATGCACTGTCAACTGTGGGACCTTTTATAGACAGGTGTGTGCCTTTCCAAATCATGTCCAATCAATTGTATTTATCACAGGTGGACTCCAGTCAAGTTGTAGAAACATCAAGAATGATCAATGTAAACAGGATGCACCTGAGCTAAATTTCGAGTCTCACAGCAAAGTGTCTGAATATTTATGTAAATAAGGTATTTCTGTTTTTATTTTGAATAAATTAGCAAAAATGTCTAAAAACCTGTTTTTGCTTTGTCATTATGGGGTATTGATGAGGAAAGAGAATGTATTTAATACATTTTAGAATAAGGCTGTAACGTAACAAAATATGGAAAAAGTGAAGGGGTCTGAATACTTTCCGAATGCATTGTATGTCTCTCTATTTATTGAGTGGAAATACTTGGGAATAGATTTCCTAAATTAAAATAATTTTGAGCTGAATTCCTAGTGATTTTACAGTCTTTTATGACCCCAAAATTTGTTTGTATTACATTTTCTTTTGCTCAACTTTGGGAGGCCAAATTAATTCGGCCTTGGGACGAATTTGGCCCATGTGCCGCCAGTTGACGATCACTGCTGTAGACAGTAGAGGAGTTATGATAATTACAATGGATTCCAAAAATTGCTTGATGTGATTCATAAAAACTAACATCATATAGCAAATGGACACATCAAATTGGCCTTACAGCTGCTACAGTTATTCCAATTCACCTCAGCACTGCTTCACTCAACCATTAGGAGAGTCCAGATGTACACACAGAGCTGTAGTAAATTTTTAAGTAACTAATGGGATGTCAATTAAGTTTGTGCAGCATTTACAATTGACCTTCCTTGGTAGAGAACCAATGTCACACTGCAAGTCGGCCGGGGGAGAAAACCAGTTAATATTCTGCTTCTGCTGCTCATCAGGTAAAGGTTTTATAAATGGTTTTAATTTATCTCTTGATGGGGTGAAGATGAAGCACCAGCTGCCTCTTCTCTGTTGGTAGTTGTAGTCCTCTCAACTCTGTCTTCCAGACAGACATTGATGATAACACAGTAATTCAAGCCAGGAGATTACTGATAGGGCTCGAGGCTTTTGGATACAGTTAAAAGATGATCTGACCTGATAAACCTTTTCTCAGTCTCCTGTCCACCATATTTTTTTTAACAGGCAGCATTGCAAATATGAAAATACACTGTGCACTATATTTATCCCCAGCATGAATGCAAAATCATGTGAGTCAGAAATGGATGGAGAGGCTCTCCATGTAATTTCAATGTAATTTTCTCAATGTTTTGGCAATCACCTACAGTGTCTTCAGAAAGTATTCACACCCTTTGATTTTTTCCACATTTTGTTGTGTTACAAATTGGAATTAAAATGGATTTAATTGTATTTTGTTTTTCAACGATCTACACAAAATACTCAAATGTCAAAGTGGAAGAAAGATTCCCTTTTTTTGGGGTGATTAATGAAAAATAAAACACTAATATCTTGATTAGATAAGTATTCAACTCCCTGAGTCAATACATGTTAAAATCACCTTTGGCAGTGATTATAGCTGTGAGTCTTTTTGGTTAAGTCTCTAAGAGCTTTGCACACCTGGATTGTACAATATATTCTTTTTACTCTTCAAGCTCTCTCAAGTTGGTTGTTGATCATTGCTAGACAGCCATTTTCAAGTCCTGCCATAGATTTTCAAGCCGGTTTAAGTCAAAACTGTAACTAGGCCTCTCAATGGCCTAGTTACAGCAACCCCAGTGTAAACATAATG